GTATTTAAAGAATGTGTCCACATCAGTGGCCATGAGTCACACCAAATAAATGACCCTCGCTCCTTAACTATGCTCTTAAAATTATGCACACAAATAGCTACTTTACTTAAATCCCCAGAGTCCTTCTGTTGTCTTTGAATGTTGATTCAGAAGGATTATCTTGTGTTTAAAATCTTTAATTCCTTCTTTTCTAATCTTTCTCTTATTGTTTTGGATGGGAGAATAAAGAAATCTAAGTCACATTGCCAAGGACTCACATTAGCATAAGTATTTCTCTTTAGTATGCAATTTAAATGTTCTTATGATTAAAAAAAAAGAGAATGAAATCATTATCTCTCCTGTACAGTGGGAAGAATGATGTGTAATCAATATCAATTTTGTATAAGAGTATTTATTTTAATTTTAAATGATAGTGATAACATTAATGGTAACTGTCTGCATCCCTCCTATTTTCCTTATGTAGCTCCTTTAGCTGGGTAACTACGAAGACAGAAGTACTTTGATAGGTATCTGAGCTTGTGAAAATCAATGAACAAAACTCATTGTGTGTTTTTATTTTTTCCCCAGTTGATCCCTGCCCCAGATTCTCTTTCTATTAAAGTGGAAAGGAAAAAGCTAAGGCAGAAAAAGAAACAGAATATTTAAGCATCCATGCAAAGGAGAAAATAGTAGTATCAGTATAAAACTAAACCTTACCAATGAGGTAGGCAGCCTGTAAACTACTTTTTTAAATATACTATATGTTCTTTATTTGGTATAATTTATTTCTTTTTTTAGTTAAGGGTTTTCTATGTGATGACTTATATTGACTTCAAGTATTTTAGTCAACTTTACCAAAATGGAGTTTGAAAAGTGAGTCATTAAGGAGACTGATCCCTACCCACTACACCAGCCAAGCTCCCTTCACTCTATTCCCTATCAGTGCAGCCAATGGGAGGTACTCCTCTCAAGAGACTGAAGGAGATAGCGGGAGTGAAAGGTTGGGAAATTTTCCCCTCTCCTAGCTTAGGGATGGCATTCTTCCACAACTGCAAGTCCCGGCTGTCAGTCCCTCCTCACTGTTCAAGTTCTCTGATTCCAGAAAGACCATTTTCTCGGTTTCCTTTTAGACCAGGGAGCAATGCTGGCTTCTGCTGTTCCTTCTCTCTTGGTGTCTAATACAGTTTTTGTTCCCTAATTCAGGAAGTCATCCCTTCATTGAACTTTCTTCCCTGGGGTGGATTCTGCTTCTTCATGTGTCTTGACCGATAGTAACTGTGAACTTGAAAGTGTATGTGTCACCTGCTATTGAGGCAGCTCGGACTCCTGGTGACTCTATGATGAGTGATGTTCACAATGTCCTGTCCTAGACAGCCCTGCTCAGCTCCTGTGGACTCCTGCTTATAGCTTTTATGTAGTCAATCCATCTCATATTTGGTCTTCCTCTTTTCCTACCGCCTTCTACTTTTCCAGAATTATTGTCATTTCTAAAGACCCCTGCCTTCTCATGATATGCCCAAAGAGAATAGCTTAAGTTTTGTCATTTTTGCCTCCAGCAATATTTTGGGGTTTATTTGCTTTAGGACCCACTTGTTCCTTTTTTTTTTTTTTTAAATTGGTCCAGAGCATCCGCAGAACTCTCCTCTAACACCATATTTCCAATGAATCAATTTGAAACTTGAAAATACACCAACTTAGACCTTTTCCATTCCAATCCTTTAATGCTGTTGAAATATCTATTAAAAAAAATGATGCCCTTCTACTTTATACTATTGAGGCTGGGATGAAACAGTTTTCGTAGCCAGAAGAGCTCTTTAATCCTGGTAGTCAGGAAGCATAGTGATGTCCATGAACTTTGTACACCAGAGAACTGCTTCTCCTGGGCCCCATTCTGCAGTCACCCAAAAGGAATGGAACATCATACTCCCTCTTAAGTCACTGAGAACAGACAGGAGCAGAGCAGTATGCATACAGCAATTAGAAAATAGAGCCAACCGAGCCATATTGAGGTAACACCAATCTTATCTTCACTTAACTTTTTAAATATTTTGTTCACCAGAGATTGTTCGCATTACTTTTAATTGTAACATATTGCATTTTAAAATTACTTATCTTGGTTACTGAGGTTTTCTTAGCATCCCCTTACATTTTGAACCCAGGTGAGTTCCTCACTCTCCTCCCCTTACTCCAGACCCTGTTCAAGAGTCAGAAAATAAAAAGTTGTCTCACATTGAAAGAGAGCTGTTATGGAGGATGGAAGCCAGGAATTTAGACAGACTTAAGTCTGAATATCACTTTACCACTTACTAGCTGTGACCTTGGGCAAGTTTCTGAAACTCTCTAAGCCTCAATTTCCTTATTGCAAGATGAAGATAATAATGTAGGGCAACAAACCCTAATCTGCATTGTAACATCCAAAATGTTCTGAGAACCAAATGATTTTTCATACATTTGGCAAAAACTAATTTGCAGCAAATCTGACTGAAGTGAGATAAGACAATTCACAGTCTTTATTTATCCCATGTATAACGTGATTACTTCTGGGGTGCTGCCCCCGGTCCCACTGGGGGTGGTACGAATTAAAGATATGGCATATTCATTCTACAGCCTGTCTGAAATCTGAAAGTTCTGAATTCAAAAACGAGTATGAGCCTAAGAGGTTTAGATAATGACTGTGAACTTATAATAGCTCTTTGTGGGAAGTCAATGAGAAGTACCTCACAGAGTGGGGGCACCTGGTGAGTAGTCACTGGAAAATGGGCTTTCCCAGAACCCTAGGAACTCAAACAGAGATTGTGTCGCAAGGCATCCAGCCCCTGACACTGCTTGCTCCCTGGTGGGGAATGAAATCTTGCAGACACTGCGTTGGGTTCAAGAGGCAGATAGGTTGTTGTATAAGTCTTTCCAGAAAATGATGTAAATCCTGACTATTAAAGGGCCAGGCACGAATGGCAATGTGTCCTCTTTGCGTGGGCAGTGCCTCCAGCCGCTATGGGTTCCTGTTAGATTTGGGGGGAGCCAAGGAAGCTATGCTGCGATGTGCTGCCGCTCTTCCTATCCTGTGTGGCCACCTCCCTTCTGATTAGGTTTGCATCCTTGGCTAATTAAATAAGGAGCTTAATCTAACCTTGCAGTACATGTGTTGGGCGTGGGTCTCTTCCTGTCAATCTGTAACCTGGCTGAAGTACTGCAGTGCCCAATAAACATCGCCCATTAATGTCATCTTCATCGTGATTATTTCCTAACAGACAACAGGCATTTTTCAGAATTGAAGCTTTCTTAGAAATCAGTTGATTTACAGTATAATCTTTGAGCAATTGCAGATGCAGAGACTAAGATTTCACTGTAATTATGCCTAAAAGCTTGATTGAAGAAAGTGAAAACGTCATCCCCGTCTGGTGTGGGATATGAACTATATCAGCAGAACATGAATGATGAGAGACATCTAGACTGGACCATAACAGAGACAATTCCCTTAATGGCACATGACTAAGGATTTTACCAATTTCCAGTAAGAATGGAAAGTTAATTTCAAAGCCTGCTTTATATTCCTCAGAGTTCCTTGTTTTTAATTATGTTGAAATTAACTTGCAAGAACAGTACAGAGTTTTTATTTCACAGAATGAGGTTAGCCGTTCCCTTTTTGTATTGTCTATACATTGTCTTCACAGTTTCAGATGATTAATCTGTGTGGGGAGCCCATCAATAAGTTCAGTCAAATTCTGGTGTTCAGAACGGGCAAGGCAAATGGGACCGACTCTGGGCTGTAACCTTATATCTGGAGGAATTGGCTGTGAAGGTGACTCACTGCCTGGATACAAACGCCCCTCAGTGTTCTGCTATTAGTGAGGAGTTGTGTACCCACCGGGATCGTCTGGCAAATGGGCAGTGGAGCAAATCACTTGACTCACTGTCTGTTTCCTCGTTTATAAAATTATAGAGTCATACTAAAATTATTGTTCATTTTTTTCTTTTTGCAGAACTCTTTTCTTATATTATTTTTTAAAACTAGGAAGCCAAAAATATGACAGATAAAAGAGGCATTCTGTTTGAAGTAGTTGAGGTGCAGAGTCCTTTATCCCTATATTGCCTGCCCTCTCCCAATGCCTTTGCAAAGCCCTTAAGACTCCAAAAGTTCTTAGGAGACTCAATGGACCAGGTAGTTCCTAAGAAAGAATACTTTCTGCTCCAGCTCTCTCTAAGTCCACAAATCTATGAGATCCTAATAGCTGCCATTTACCAAGTGGCTAATGTGTACAGGCCTTGAAGTAAGCATTTATACACAGTATATTATTTAAACTTTAGAAAGATCTTACAAGGACTATGCATCCCCTTACACAGATTAAGTAACTGAGGCTCTAGAGTTTAAATAATTTTCCTGGGGTCACACAGCCAGAACATGTGGCTCCAGAATTCAAGCTCAATTCAACTGACCCCAAAGCCCATATCCTGACCATCATGTCCATCGGGGAATCCAAATCACCTCTCTAGGTCTTTAGAAATTTAAGGCAGGAAATAGGCCATTGATAACTGCTCATTTCATACCCTATGAATCCAGACAACAAATGCCCAGGGTATTTCTTAGTGACCATTCCACAGTAGACCCATTCTAGGGGCAGGACAAGGGGGTATTCTGGCTATTCCTGCTGCAGCTGAATAGTGGTCTTCAGAGAAGAGAAATAGGAAGCTATTACCACTCTGAACAAAATGTAAGAAGGTGGGCCCATTTCTCAGAAAGATGGTTCTGACAGGATTTGAAAATTATGGCCTTTATTTTTATTTTCTCATTAAAATAACTAATTAATAAGTACCTGCTTTGGTCATGCTTGTATAACTGCAAAAATCTTGAAGTCCAAAAATGTGGTTTTATGCAGAGTTTTACATTCACTACTTGTACAAATTACTACTTGGATAAATGACTTATCTCCTAATTCAGTTTTGTTTGTTTGTTTGTTTGTTTGTGGGTTGGTTGTGTTTTGGGGTTTTGGATTTGTTTTCAATATATTAAATGAAAGGATGACCTCTGAAGAATTCTCAATCACTAACATTTCCGGGGTTCCAAGATCTATCCAGGAAATATCTGTAATGCCAAATATGAAGCCAAATTTTGGGAAAATCAAAATGTAAGTATCAAAACTCACAATTTTCATGTGTAGTTACTTGAGATCTTACATGTGGCCCTCTCTACAACACTGTAGGGTGGTGGTCAAGATGTCGTTACATCACTAATTTTCTGTGTCAGGAGGAAACACATCAAGAGGTTAAATAACTCGTTTAAAATCACACAAGTGACATTATGAGTTGAGCTCAGATCTCCTGATTTAGAGACAATATGCCCTGGTTACTTTAAGTAATGTTCCCAAGGTCCCAGAAAGTCTCGTTTTAGTTCATTTTTTATTTCTCTATCTGTTATTATTCCAGTTCTAACTAGATGATGACATAGTGGAGGTCTAACTGCCACTTTCTTTAAGCGGTTCACTTGGCATTTGCAGGTGGTGTGATCCGTGGTGTCACCTGTGGAAATGAAGCCACCCTTGTTCTGGAGCATCAATCTATAACCACAGAGCTTCTAGGTCTGATCTGTTTGACAGTCCATAAAGGGGAACTATGAACACCTAATCTTATTACACTCATTGTGTTTTATAGATGTTTTGAAGTAGGGAGGAAGAAAAAACACACAAGGTAGGTAATATATCTTATTTGTAATTTGCTGTTTTCTTTACTCCCAGTTCACCACTTGTATCTGAACTAACATCTATCTCCTTCTAAACAAGGTTACTGAGTCAGCATACCCAGTGAGATTGTGTCATGTATAATAAATTTTCTGCTCAAAATGGTCCTAATGCAATCTTTTCAGCTTTGATGGGGAAAAATTAGCCTTAGTTAGAAAAGGCATTTCCATAACTCATTTTAAATCATCTCAGTGTCAGCAACCACATATGTACATAAATCAAATTTGGATCAGATCTTAAGATGGATCATTAGGAAAGAATTTCAGGACAATGAAATAAATAATACAATAATCTAACCATAGCGCAGATGGATAGACCCTTTTACTTTTCCCTTATTAACTCTTTGAATCCAGCTTGTGTCCTTATCACTAACTACTAAAATGATATTATTAAAATAGATTATTGCCCTGGCCCGGTGGCTAAGTCAATTGGAGTATCATCCTGTACACCAAAAGTTTGTGGGTTTGATTTCCAGTCAGGGTATATACCTAGGTTGTGGTTGGATCCCTAGTTGGGATATGAATAGGAGGCAACTGATCAATGTTTCTCTCACGGTAATTTCTCTCTCTGTGTCTCTCTCTCTCTCTCTCTCTCTCCAGGAGGCAACTGATCAATGTTTCTCTCACAGTAATTTCTCTCTCTGTGTGTCTCTCTCACTCTCTCTCTCTCTCTGTCTCAAATCAATAAAAACATATCCTCAGGTGAGGATTTTTTAAAAAGAGAGATAACTGCCTTCCTAACCATCCAAACTGTTGGCCTTTTTCTCAGTTCTTGTTATTCCACACAGCATCTGACTCTAGTAATTACCCCCTTCTTCAACTCATCTCCTTCTCTGACTAGCTATTTATAGTTCTGTTACCTTTCTGCAAATCCTCTCACTTGCTCCCAATGTTGATTTTATCTTCCTTTTCTCTTCATTAGCCTCCTACATCAGATATCACATCATTACAGGGACAACCTCCAAATACAAGTAACCGTAAATTTCTTAACAGAAAGAAATGGAAAAGGGGAAGAAGAGACACAAGCACTGACTAATCTACACACTGCTAGTCAACCACTGGAAAGAGAATCCATGTTTCCTGGGAAAGGGACAGAGTGGATTTACAATGAATGAACTATTCAAATTTTTATTCTTGTTTATAAAAATAATAGAGAGCCCTTCTTTCCAAGTTTAGAAACTTTCTTTAATACTCTTTATATAATAGGGTCCTGTATTATCTGGAGATGACATTTACATTTATTGATCTAGGAGCTATTGGATTTTGAATATTAACTCACTCTGTTCGTGTCATGCTCCACAGAAATAGACTGTACACAAAGCAAACACCTGAGTAAGAAAAGCTTACAAAAACTAAATGTGAACCTATATGAAAAATATTAAAATGAAATTGTTTAAGGTAGTTTTATGGATATCCTGCCCAAACCCTGCAAACTTTCATTTACAAAAAGGTTCTTTATATATAAACTAGAGGCCCGGTGCACAAAAATTTGTGTAAGAGAGTACTGAACACGGGTCTCTGCGTCAAGTCATAGGTTCCTATAGAGCAGGCGTGGGGAACATCCGGCCTGCCGGCCATATAAGGCATGAGACATCATTTTATCGGGTCTTGTCAAAGCATTAGGGGTGAGTTAATTAAGTGTTTGACCAAATATAGCAGACTAATTTTTAAGTTGATAATTTTTATGGCCCATGAATGATATTATAAATATCCAAATGGCCCCTGGCAGAAAAAAGGTTCCCCCATTCCTTCCATAAAGGTTCCATGGCTTTCTAGTTCAATCTCAACTTTATTTCTGAAACATGATAAATTCCTGTTAAGATGCCTGGGAACATTAAAGATAATGATCTAATATGTTTATAAGCATAGTAGATTCTCAATAGATAGTAGTTGCTTTTATAGTATAGCATCTCCATAGTGGAGGACTGGGAAGCTAAAAGAAAACTAAATGGAATAAAGAAAATCAAATTGTAATTCAAACAAAATCAGGAAGCCAAGTTCAACGCAGAGCAAGACACCCAACATTCTACTTCTATTCAGTATTTGCAACAAGTATAGTTGCAATTATTTTTTTTAAGTTTTCGTTATTTGTGTAATAAGGGAAGGAGTTAAATAATATGGCAAAATCCAAAATGGTTAAGAGTTCTGGCTCATGTGACAGGAAAACTCAAGAAATATAAGGGCTATCTGGGTGGTTTGTTGCTCTATTTCAAGGGTTGTGGGGTGCCGATATAGGGTTATGTGTGTGTGTGTGTGTGTGTGTGTGTGTTCTTGCTTACTTGCATTATTGGATTATTTGATTTTATCCCTATAAAGTATGCTATTAATCTATGAACTTTTGAAAATAATTTAAAAGTTGAATGTTGGATGTGAGCACAGCATGGTCAAGAGAACCTCATCAATGAGCCATATCAGATTGAAGAGTTGGACACACTGTATCTGCCATCCCTGGTTGTCTGTGGATATTAGGCCGTTTGCATATTTATATGGGTAAGTTTAAAAATGTTTTCCAAGTCTCTCTAAAGCAAAATTTAAGATAAATTTTTGGTGCCCCACAAGCTTTAGTAAGTTCAAATCTTCATGCAGTAAAAAAAAAAAATGTTTCCCTTGCTTCAAAATCAATCACTGCAAATAGCAGATTGAACTTGAACTGTCTCATATTGGTGTCAAGCTTAAAGAAAAGAGCAGAAAAAATACCTTACTACATGGGGATGAACACCACAATCATTGCAACTGACCTTTGACTAAGCAGCTATAGAAAAGTGCTCTGTTTGCTTCCCTGACCCAATTGAATCATGATGCTACTTGTACCCTAGAAAAATATCAACTTCAATTAGATAAAAAATGAAAAACTGAATAGAATGTTTGATCAATTAATCATATTTTTAGCAGGCATCTAAAAGAGTAGGCTTATAACAAAAGCTACAAAATAATTACCCTACCTTAGATAGTTCCTAGAAAGTCTTGGGTACATCTCTGAGAAAATGAACAAAGAAATCGTGATACTATTTAATCAATCTTCAATTATCCAGAGGTTGATTGTTCTATTTGTGGGTAGTTCATATCTCTGCTCTCCTTCTGCTCTCCCTGGCTGAATGCCTTATGGCTGTTATTGTGTCCATGTCCACTTCCACCAGAGAATGGGCAGGGAGAGAAATCAGAAAGCTTACAAATTGAAGGAACGATAAAAGCAAGGGATAGTAAGCACTTTGGCTAAATGAGGCTTATGTATTTATTACCCATAGATCTAAAAATTCCATGCTTTCCCTGAAATTGTATTATGATGTTAGGACATTGGATTATCAGCATGCAACAAATATTATTAGAAAGAACATATAGAAAAGTGGTAGAGGCTGTAGAGTTGAGTTATTTGTGTGAACATCCCATCTCTAAACTGAAAGCTGATTGACGTACTTACTTGATCTCCTTATGCCTTAGCTTCCTTATCTGAAAATAGCATTGTGATAGATTATATCATTATCAAAACATGTGTTTAAGGGGCAACGTCTGGAGATGAGGATGGGCTGTGAGAGAGAGACTAATTAAATTTCTGACATTTTCACAGCTCCCAAGCATAATACAAGTGCAGATATCTATAATGGAGAAAACACCTTCCCAAACAGAAAGTCCATAGACATGGACCATTCATCTCAAGTGTCCTCTCATTAATGTGATTAGTTCACCAGGAAGAAGGTGAATCCACAACTGATATCTTTGCCCCTTGGCACAAAAGGATAATCTTTTTTTAAAAAAATATATTTTATTGATTTTTTACAGAGAGGAAGGGAGAGGGATAGAGAGAAACATCGATGAGAGAGAAACATCCATCAGCTGCCTCCTGCACACCCCCCACTGGGGATGTGCCCGCAACCAAGGTACATGCCCTTGACCAGAATCGAACCTGGGACCTTTTAGTCCACAGGCTGATGCTCTATCCACTGAGCCAAACCAGTTAGGGCCAAAAGGATAATCTTTACCTTTCCAAATGGACCCTGAAACCCCTACTCAAACCTTGAGAAAAGCTTCACACAATTTATCAAATTACCCAGCAATGACTGATAAGGAACTCAACTTTCTTTCTGCCATTCTCAGGCTTCTAAATCCCTGAAGTGTGGAATACCTGATGTAAGATAAAGCCAAATTGTCCAACTTATATTTAAGAGAAGGATCTGAATAATCTCCTGGGAAATAAAAGCAGCAAACAAGAATCAAATCCCACTATTTGAGGGCAACAAATGTAGATAAACCTGTGCTATTCAAATAAAATAGAATCTAAAAACTATACAAGAAGAGTATTTAAAATGTTTTATCCAAATTAATATGTCTCCAGACACATGCTAGATAAGGAGAACTGGCATTCAAATGGGAGATGATCACTCTTCTGTATCTCAGTCTAGTAGGTAAGAAAAACCAACACAGAGAAATGCATTTTTAGGGTAGTACACATGTAGGAATTGAGTTAAAAAAAAAAAAAGATAATTTATTGCTTCTTTTTATCATTGAAGAAAGACAATTTATTCTGCTCAAGACAATTTATTATACAATAAGCTTCAGAAGGAAAAAGTATTGAACTGATGTGATTTGAGTTACAGTTGTGTATTAATATTACTAGTATATACCTTAGGCAAATCACAGGATTTCCTTGAGCCTCAGCACCCTCATCTCAGAAACTAGGGTAATGACTATAGCTAAGGTGCTGAGCTCACCTGGTGTGAGGCTCAAATGAGATAATGTTCCTGAAAACCCTTTTAAATGTGTTATATGCAAAAGTTATTTTCCTTAACACCATTAGCATCAAGGTGTAAATGATTGTGAATTTCACAAGTATATTTGAACTTCACACTTCATCTATTTGCTCTAGAAAACCATCTTCAGTCACCACTTCTTAAAATCAACACTTTCTTAAGTGAATAGTGTACAAAGGATCTTGATTCCACAAAGATAATGGCTGTTCTCCTTCATCTTAAAGCCACAGTCATATCCTAATTAAACTAAGATCAGTATGTGGTCTAGCATGTCAAGTTATTTGTAGCCTAAATATTGAGGTACTTTAGGATATGTTGTGATTATTCTTTCAGACGATATTCATTATTTAGACATTGTTTGTTAATTATGAAGTAACATTCTAATTACTGTTACAAAACAAGAGAAGTTCTCCAAACTCTCCTCAGGTTAACAGATTCTCTGGAATGTTGACATTCTGTTTAAACATTTGAGTGATATGCTTTCTCATAGTAGGTTATCTATTTCCAATCTATTGGTGTTGGTTAAACTGTTAATTATAAACATATAATTTAACTTACTATTGCATAAACTAATTAAATGTAAGTGGGAAAATAGAATTGTTGTTTTCATCAATGTGAAATGGAATGGTTTGGAAAGATTCAAACATGGGCAACTCACTTTAAAAAAAATCACTTTGTTAGGTTAAGGGGAAGGAAGATAGAAAACCTAAAAGTGTTCTGAACTCATATTGTGTCAGAAGTATCTAACTTCTCCCTCTATTTTCAAGAATATGGAAATTTAGGATCATACCTTATGCTATGGTTAATGTAAGAAAGATAAATTAAAACTTTTATCAGTGAACCCAAGAATAGGGTCTGAATGGCTAAGGAATAGGCCTCAGCCCTATCTCAAAATGAATGATAAATGAATTGAATAAATGTATGCTTCATGTCTTAAAAGTTAAAATTTTTAAGGTATAACCAAATCATTTTTATGATTCTCTATTTTGACTTTTTAAAAATAAACTGAACAATTATGCATTATTAAAATATTAGTTTGAAAACTGGAATTGTTTCAAAATGACAATATATAAGAACATAGAACTATTTAAAAATTCTATTAAACAAATAAATATGGCTTAATTCCCAACTCAGTCTTAGGCATAATGATAGATACTATGGAGAATAGAAACACAATAAAGCTAAGTAGCTACTTTCAAGGTGCTGAAAACTCACAGATTTCTTACATATGAGAAAGTTCTCAGAACCTCATGTATACTCTGCTGCTGTGCAAGTCACAATTGGCATAACCTTTTTGAGTGTGCTGATGGATATAATGTGTTCAAAATGAAATGCATCCTTGTTTGGTGAGCCAATCAGACACAGGCATTAAAAATACATCATAATGTTATAAAGTCCATGTTGCATGTCAGCCTCATCAATCATTTTTATTGATAGGAATTGTCACTACATCACTATAACTGTTAGAAAGAGGCACCTCTGAAGAAAATTCAAGTTAAACATTCAGCAATATTTTTACACCACATATATATTTATTCATCATTTGTTCATTCCTTTCTTTTTTTTTTTCATCAGACACTGAGTTTCTACAATGTGCCAGACCTGTAAGTGATGGGATAGGTAGAAAATAGTGATTAACAAGATCTCTGTATTATTTACAATGTACAATGGACAGTCCTTGAAGGGTTTTAAGGTTAAGGACATGATCCAATTTACATTTTAAAATCCCAGGTTAGGAGAAGAGAAACAGGATTAGGAAGGGTTAGAGTGGGGAGGAAAAAGGAATCAAAGAAACGAGAAATGATGTAGATATGCTGTTGTCTCCAGGTGTCAGGTATGTCATGTGTAAGGTGTGTGTGAGTATGCCTCTGCTCCCTTATCCTAGATTCTAAGCTCCTTGCTATCAGGAATCACAAATTTCACTTCTTGATAACATATATCTGGAATTTTCTAGAATTATCTTGATTTAAAAGTTTGTCCTGAGAGTCCTATATACAATAAAGAACATGCTAGACATTCTAATAAGTTGCCCTCCAAACAGCATATCACCACCCCTTGCACCCAGAAGCAACATAAACCCTTCCTCATTTTGGCTCAGAATATATAGCCACTGTACTCAGGGCACCTAACACAATAAGTTAAACTCACCATACAGTTCTTTTTTAAACTACTTTTCAGGTAACTTTTGAAAATGTGGAAAGACAAAAAAAATGATATCAATTTCTTTGTCATTTTCAGCTATTTTCCTGAAACTGGATGCATTTGCTATTTATCATTTTTCTTTATTTTGGACTCATCTGCCAATTTTCAAGGCAATTTGAATTCACTTTTTGTGAAAGAATTTTCAGGAAAATATACTGTCAAGAGCTTTGGGACAATCAAGATAAATGACACCCCTACATTTCTCTCATACTAATCACTCCTTCATGAATCCATCTAAAAGAATGTATTCCTCTGTGTCAGGCTCTCTCTATACACCCCTCATTGTTGCTCTGTGTGTTGTCTGTTCCAGGCATGATCGCTTCAGTCTCTGTCCTATTTCCCTGTTGAGCTGCCTCTCCAACTATTCTCAGAGTAGTACTGCTTGGGATTTTAGATATTAGGAATTAACATTTTAGTAGAATGCAATCACTGATCTTTTATTCAATCCTTCTCACTGTCATCCCCCAGACATTTACATTTTCTTATTTATTTACTTATAATTTAGATCATCTGTAAAAAATACATATAATGAATTTTTTAAATTTATTTTTATTATTGAAAGTATTACAGATGTGCCCCTTTTTTCCCCATTGATCCCCTCCACCCTGCACACACCCCTCCCAGGTCTGCACCACACTGTTGTCTGTCCATGGGCTAATCTATCCCCACCAATCCCTCCCCACCCCTGCTTTCCCTCTAAGATTCATCAGTCTATTCCATTCTTCTATGTCTTTGGATCTATTTTGTTCATCAGTTTATTTTGTCCATTAGATTCCACATGTGAGTGAGATCGTGTGATACTTATCTTTCTCTGACTGTCTTATTTCACTTAGCATAATACTCTCCATGTCCCTTCATGCTATCTCAAAAAGTAAGTGATCCTTCTTTTCATAGCTGTATAGTATTTTGAAATTTGAGTTTACTCTTTGGATTATTTTCTTGTTGTTATCAATATTTTCCAAAACTCACACACAATTTTAGAGAAAAGAAATATTAGACAGCCATCATCAAATTATCAAA